AACGGAGGAAGAATGTCAATTTTTTTAAATATTTTTAAGCAACGTATAAAAAGCAATGGTCTTTTTTGTGGTCGTGGGTTAAAGTGAACGGGGTCAGATCCGGCAAGTAGTCTAGTTGTTGTGTGACGCTTGCGGACTTTGTAGGATCTAAAAATAAACAGTCTTAACGGTAAATTTACTATGAAATTATCACAGCACAGAGAGAAACAAGTAAGAAAGGTATAGAGTTATTGGAGTTTCAAGACTGTGATAGACAAAGAAAGACTACCACGGCTAGAGGCACAGATAATTGACTCAACTAATGTTTTTGTTACGACATTTATATTATTAAGAATGCAGAGTTTCATAGAACACTACAAAATAAATCAAATAACACACAGGAACGGTCTGATGATTCATTGATTATTACAATAATAGCTCCAAGCGTTTAACCGAGTAAAAAAAACGAGCAAATAAATTGATTTTTAACGGTTTTCAAATTTAGAATAACACACGTTTTTATGTAAAACCAAGCTCCTGAAAACGTGGTTTTCAATTCGTCTCGAATGAAATACACGATGTTGCTTAGCTTCCACCACTAAATTTTACATTGACCTTGAACGAAAAAAAAAAACGAAAGTAAAATTATTAAAACGTTTCGATATGTTTTAAAAAATTCATTTACACTGCAATATTGTTGATATGTAGACCACAACGTTACACATACAGGGTGTTCCATTCAAGAATTCACTTTTTTCATTTATCGATCCATTTTAATGAATCTTATCAAGAAGGCCTTGGAAGCATGTCCCAATAATCTGCCAAGGCCAAATGTGACAATTCTTTCATGCAAAAATTAGACAAGTACCGCTTATTTGGGATTTTTTTTCATCTAACGGATTCTTCAGGGTGATTTGAAATAATCAAAAATAGATTTTTATGGTCATTCATTATCATATTGTTAAAAATGAACAAGTAGGAGGTTTTCAAATGTTTTTGGTAATAATTCCGCCAAAAATATCCAAAAACAGTGTTCGTTGTTTAAAAATTGATATGTATAGTAAAAAACCTGTACTTAATTGTCTAAATACTATTCCCGGTCACCCCAAGTGAGAACTAGTTGGAATTTTTTCACTAAAAAAAAATCAGTAATTTTTGTACCAAAACAATAATCGCAGTTGACCGACATTTAAATTATGAATGGGACATGCCTCCGTCGCGCTTTCATGAAAAATAATACAAGTCAGTTACAATAGTTCAATAAATAAGTAATTTTTTTTAAAGTACGTATCTACTCTAGATAAAATTATTTTTGCAACACCTTGTATATTTTTACGTAGACTTGAACGTTTTTTAATTTGTTGCAGTCAATCTTAGTAGTCATAAAATTTTCTTTGTTTATCAAATTTCGAGTCAAAATTTGGAGTTTGAACTTGAAATTGGCAGTTTGAAACAATGGAATTTCGAAATTAAATTCGGAATTTTAAGTTTCACCATGATATTGAGAGTTAGAGCATGAAACTTCTAGTTTAAATTCAAAATTGGAGTTGGAATATGAAATATCGAGTTTAAATGTTTGAATTGCAAAATTTTAAGAATGAATTCGAAATTTTAAGTTTCACCATGATATTGAGAGTTAGAACATGAAGTTTCCGGTTGGAATTGAAAATATGGAATTTGAACATGGACGTGGAAGTTTGAAACATGAAATTTTGAAAATGAATTCAAAATTTTAAGTTTAAACTAATACCGAGAATTGAATCCAAAATTTGGAGTTTAAACTTGAAACTGGGAGTTTGAAACATTGGAATTTTGAAATTAAATTCGAAATTTTAAATTTTACCATGATACTGAGAGTTAGAACATGAAACTTCTAGTTTAAATTCAAAATTGGAGTTGGAACATGAAATATCGAGTTTAAATTCAAAATTTGAAGTTTGAATCGTCAAATTTTGAGAATGAATTCGAAATTTAAAGTTTCACCATGACATTGAGAGTTAAAACAAAGTTTCCAGTTGGAATTGAAAATTTGGAGTCTGCACTTGGAGGTGGAAGTTTGAAACATGAAATTTTGAAACTGAATTCAAAATTTTAAGTTTGAACTTAATTTTGAGAGTTGGAACATGAAATGTCGTGTTTGAATTCAAAGTTTTGAGTTTGAAACATGAGAAAATTAAAACCATTTGGAAATTTCATGTTTGAATTTAATACTGGGAGTTAAAATATGAAGTTTTGAGGTCGACTTCAAAATTTGGAATTTGCACTTGGAGCTGGGAGTTTGAAACATTGGAATTTTGAATTTAAATTCGGAATTGTAAGTTTCACCATGATATTGAGAGTTAGGACATGAAATTACTATTTTGCATTCAAAATTTGGAGTTTCAATCATAAAATTTCGAGACTGAATTCAAAATGTTGTTTCAACATGATATTGAGAGTTAAAACATGAAGTTTTCAGTTTAAATTGAAGATATGGAGTTTGAACTTGGAGGTGGATGTTTCAAACATGAAATTTTGAAACTGATTTCAAAATTTTAAGTTTGAACTTAATTTTGAGAGTTAGGACTTGAAATTTCTATTTTGAATTCAAAATTTGGAGTTTGGACTTAAAATTGCGAATTTTAAACACATTTTTATTTTGAATTAGATCGAAATTTGTCATTTCAAGTTTGAATTTGAAGTTTTGGATTTGAAGTTCAAATTACGATTTTGAACTTGGAATTTCCAGTTTGAAACACAAAACTTCATGTGTGAAATTCAAAATTTTGAGTTTGATATATGAAATTTTAAGTTTAAACTAAAAATTTCAAGTTCTAACTCAAGATTTTGTATTATAAATTGGAAGTTTCAAGTTCAAACTAGAATTTTTGGTTTTGAACTTGAAATATGATACGTAAAAGAATGAATAGCCTTTCTACGAACAACAAAATTAATGTGAACAAGCAGCCAACAGCTAGGAATTTACATTACCCAGCGGAAAATCTAAATAAACCCGCAGCCAAGTCGTAATTTCAATTTATTTGCTTACAAACCTCGAACGACACCGACTCGACTCGACAGACGAACGGAAAGTAACGGCAAACAAGAAACAACAATCAATAAATATCAGATATCACCTAATAATCACCATTACAAATATTTGAGTTCTCCTAAGATACTTGCTACCGCTACGGTCCGGCGACCGCCCCCAGCCCCGTCCGGAAACAGAAATTCCCGCCGGTCCAGCACCGCGGGGCTGGGGACGGCCCCCCGAACCGGGACAAAAATAACTAAGCTCTATAATACGAATACGTAATACTATGTGATATGAACTAACTATTTGTCTTTTACGAATCGACCCCCGGAGAGGCGCGCCCCGGCCCCGGCCAGCGGGCACGCCGCCTCGCGGAAGCCGTGCAAGTCATTGCACATAACATGTCTTAAATACGCCATACACAAACACTATGTTATTGACATCGATAATACATAATGGGCCCCAGTCCAAAAGTTAGGTTAGGTCTAAACTGAGGCGCATACGTTAGGAAGACATTCAACTAAAGTAGCAATCTGTAGATCTACAGGACGAAAGTTCGCTGGCTAAGCTGTTGAAATTGAAAAGGCCGCCGAGGCCCATCCCTCCGCCTAACTGCGACGCGTAACTGATAGATTTGATACGAAAAAGTACAAAGCACGAAAAATATAGATTATTCTTTCAATACAATTGATATGTACCTAAAATATGTCAGTTTATTTGCTTAGTTCGTAGTGATATTTAGACTTTTACACTCGTAAAATATTGACTATCGGTAAAATTTCATTTGAAGCACACGTAATGCAGATATTGAGATACGGGGCGTCCCGCTCGAGACGGGTTGTTCCCCACCTCTGGCGGTATCGACAATACGAAAATGTACCCCAAATAAGTCACTCCAAGTCAATTTCCAGACATTTCTAGGGCATTTCTTTAAGGCATCTAATTTTCACGTATTTAAGTACCTGTTACGTTAAACGATGCACAAACATCATATTCATAGTATCGCAGTCAATTTTGAGGTTAAACTCCAAATTTTAAGTTTGAACTGGATACTGAGAGTTGAAATCCAAAATTTGGAGTTGGAACGTGAAATTGAGTTTGAATTCAAAATTTGGAGTTTGAAACGTGAAATTTTGAAGTCGAATTCAAAATTTGGAGTTGGAACTTTAAATTTTGAAAATGAATTCGAAATTTTTGAGTTTGAATTTGATATTGAGATTTAGAACATGAAATGACGAATTTGAATTCAAAATTTTAAGTTCGAACTCAATATCGACAGTCAGAACATGAAATTTCGAGTTTAAATTCAAAATTTGGAGTTGGAACGTGAAATTGAGAGTTTGCGACAAGAAATTTTGCGATTTAATTCGAAATTCTAAGTCTACGCTTGATAATGAGATTTAGAACATGAAATGATGAGTTTGAATTCAAAATTTGAAGTTTGAAGCGTGAAATTTTGAAATTGAATTCGAAATTTTAAGTTCGGACTCGATATCGACAGAACATGAAATTTTGAGTTTAAATTCAAAATTTGGAGTTGGAACTTGAAATTTTGAAAATGAATTCGAAATTTTTGTGTTTGAATTTGTTATTGAGAGTTAGAACATGAAATGCCGAGTTTGAATTCAAAATTTGGAGTTTAAAACGTGAAATTTTGAGGTTGAATTCGAAATTTTAAGTTCAATCTGGATATCGACAGTCAGAACATGAAATTTCGAGTTTGAAAAGTCAAATTTTGAGTTTGAATTCGAAATTTTAAGTTCAAACTGGATATCGACAGTCAGAACATGAAATTTCGAGTTTGAAAAGTCAAATTTTGAGGTTGAATTCGAAATTTTAAGTTCGAACTCGATATCGACAGTTAGAACATGAAATTTCAAGTTTAAATCCAAAATTTGGAGTTGGAACTTGAAATTTTGAAAATGAATTCGAAATTTTTGAGTTTGAATTTGTTATTGAAAGTTAGAACATGAAATGCTGAGTTTGAATTCAAAATTTGGAGTTTGAATAGTCAAATTTTGAGGTTGAATTCGAAATTTTAAGGTCAAACTCGATATTGACAGTTAGAACATGAAATTTCGAGTTTAAATTCAAAATTTGGAGTTGAAACTTGAAATTGAGCGTTTTAAAAGAGAAATTTTGAGAATGAATTCGGAATATTTGGATTTGAACGTGATATTGAGAGTTAGAACACGAAATATCGAGTTTGAATTCGAAATTTGGAGTTTGAAATGTGAAATTTTGAGGTTGAATTGGAAATTTTAAGTTTGAACTCGATATCAAGAGTTAGGACATGAAATTTCCAGTTTAAATCCAAAATTTGGAGTTGCAACGTGAAATTGAGAGTTTGCAAAGTGGAATTTTCAGATTTAATTTGAAATTTTAGGGTTCAACTTGATATTGAGAGTTTGAATATAAAATTTTGAGATTGATTTTGAAATTTTAAGTTTCAACACAACATTGAGAGTTTGAACATGAAGTTTTAAGTTTCAATTAAATTTTTTTTTAATTTTTGGAGTTTGAACCTGGAGATGGAAATTTAAAACATGAAATTTTGAGATTGAATTAGAAATTTTAAGGTTCAACACAACATTGAGAGTTCCAATATGAAGTTTCGAGTTTAAATTCAAAATTTGGAATTTGAACTTAAAATTATGAGTTTTAAACGCATTTTTATTTTGAACTTGTACGTTCAACGGTGCACAAACGTCACATTCACGGTATCGCGGTCAATTTTGGTTTTAAAAGTACCGTTATTACGCAATGTCGATTTTTTAATGCAAAAATTGCAACAAAAGTAAAAACGAATACAAAAAAACTGGTAACATCTCGCAAACCAAAAGAAATATACCCCAACGTCCTTTAATAAAATCGAAAGGAAATTAAATTTTGGAAATGTCTTCCGTAAGAACGTAGTTCGAGATGTTTGTTGATATTTTCGAGGATTTTGTATGTATTTTTTTAAAACACCAAATAACCCATGAACGGTGCATTTTAGACGCAATATCTGTTCGTCAAAGCCCCTACAACGATTCAAAAACCGCAGAATTACTTTCAACGCAACTTTTATCCTCAACACATTTTTTCGTATCGTCGATACCACCGAGGTCAGGAAAGGACCTGCCTTAAACGAGTCACCCCGCATGCATACACTAAATTAGCCCGTCCGAGACGAACGAACCTTCGGTCGCCCGTCTCGGACGGCGTTCAATATAAAATTACGAATCAAAACAATTTATTTCCTAACACCATCACAATATAACAAATCAAGTTCATCAACAGAAATAGAAGGCTCTAACAACTGCCTCGAGTATCAATCATTGCATCGCCTACAACTAAAATTTAAGTCTACCAATAAATAGCTTATTCAGTAAAAACCGTTAACACTAGTGTCGTTGCAAGTAAAATCTTAAATTGCGCTAATAGATTGTCGGGGGATCGTCCGAGCCGCCAATCCCTAAACGGAAAGAGGCGTTTTAAACGTTTCGTTACTGTCCCCGTCGAGGGCTTCCGTTCACTTTTAAAATGAGAGGATTCACCACGTCTAGGGATTACGTCGCTTCGCACGATCCCCCGAGCACAGGTAAATTTTTATTTGTGTCCCACACAAATACTCAAACGTTACATCCTCCCCTCCCCACCTCTATTTACGATATGTCCATACTATTACGATTATTACATAATTATCTTAATTATAATCAAGAAAGTTCCATCCAAAAAAGTACTTGTGATACAAAAATATTTAGAGACTTTCTTAGGAACAAAAATCATTTAAGGAAAAAAAAAATTACAATTGGTCAAGGAGATTCATAGAACGGAATATAACAACAACGAAGAAAAACACTCTTATCCACTTCTGTAAGTACTAACTTAACATTAATAATTATATTTTGAATTTACAATATATATGGAAAGGATATGTATTTTTTTTTATTGGGTTCGGCCGCTTAGTGATCCTGCTTGTCCGCGGCCCCATTGGAATTATTATCGCCATTTCTAATGGTCATGCTACGGGACGACGAGAAGCACAATTTCATTATGAAGGGAAACTTCGTGCCTGGAAAGATTCTGCATTAGACCCGTATTAAAGTGTAACCAAGGTAGGCGTTAACGCACATCTCGCCAGAAATATAATAATAATAATAATATCTCTACCCCTCATTCAAATCGCAAGTTAGAGACTTGTGCGGAAGAGGGGGCGGCACATTATTATTCAGTAGGCTGTATGTGCGCCCGTGACAGTGGCGTTCGTCGATTCAAGTACTGACACCTTGAACCGCTCGGCCACCAACAGGGTATTTGCGATATATACAAAATTGTACGGAATTATCTGATCCGTTTTTCCAGTTTTAAAGACTAATTAACAAAATTAAAAGTTTTCATTTTTCTCTTTATTTTTTGGGAATTTCGCCACCGCTTTTTTTTACTGTGATTTTTTTGGTCGGGAAAAATGAAAATTGTTGGTAAATCAATTTTTTTCCTTAACCCACCTGGACTCTCGATGGCCGCGTGATTGCAAGCCATTACCGCAGCCACGGCTTCCGTGATGTTCTCGAATTCCAGAAGGCCCGAACTGGAACGTTCCGACTTCATCGGGAACAATTTGACCGCCTTAGGTGGAACGACGTCGTAGTCTCTGAACACTTGTATCAACTCCACCTCTGTCACCTGCGGAGGGGTGTTGAAAAAGTGAAGGATCTAGAGGGGGAAAATATTTATTTAATACCAAGCTAGTTTCGTCTGGCAACAGGCCTCCTTAGAGTAAAGAAAAAATAACAATTAGAGGTCAAAACCGTTTGGGATAACGCCGAGGCACCACCGTAAGTAAAATGTGACACTGTTTCATTAAATTTTGTGGTAAATGATAAAACGAGAAAAGGTCACCATAAATAACAAAAAAAACAGGTGGTTTTTCCTGTAAAAAAAGTCAAAACAACAAAATTTTATAGTTTTGGCATGAAATAACTGAAAAACTGTCACACCAAGAGAGATAAAGCAGAATTTTATCTGTCAAGTCTCCCAGTTTTATCTATTTTTTATTATCACATACAATTTGAACTATTTATATAAATAATGGACCGATTTTGTGTTTCGCTGTAAATTTATAATTCCGTAAATGACGATTAACCTGTAAGCAACACATTTACAGAATCGTAAATTATGTAATGCCGGAACCATCCCTGTAACGATCCAAGTTACAGCGGTACAAATGAACTACTGCAACTTCAATGGATTTAGGTTGACGTTAACCTCAAAAATTGCTTCGTCCATCTACAAACATTGTTTTTCTAACGTAAAATGAGATTAATTTTTTTAATATCTACAGGGTGTTCCACCTAAGAGGGATTCTTTTATAACTATGTAACTGAAAAATTTATAAAAAAAATGGTAACACCCCGTAAAGCTAAAAATACTTTCCTTACATGGCCCACGATTCCAGGCGTTTTTTATAAATTTTACAGTCGCATAGTTACAGAAGAATCCCTCCTAAGTGGAACACCTTGTATAAATCATAATATCGAAAGCTTATTGATACGCATCATCTCTTATTGTATAAAAAATACAATGTAGATCAATAAGTTAAAGTCAACCGTAGATCCAGTGAAGTGAAGTTCCAGTAGTTCATTTGCACCTCCGTAACTAGGACCGTTACAGGCACAGTTCCCGAACTGCATAATTTACAGTGCCCTAAATATGTTACTCACAGGTTAACCGTACTTTATACGATTATAAATTTACAGAGAAAAAACACAACCGACGCCCAACAAACCTACACCGACCTACCTTGCTGGGTGGTTGGATTCTGTTCTTGCTGGCCATGGCGGGGTTCATGAACCTGTTGTTCTTGTTTGTGATGTACTCCTTGTAGGATGGCGATTTGTCGGGGAGGGGGTAGGGATTTGTCACCTCGCTGAGGTAGGGCTGTTTGCTGAAGGCCAGCTGGAGCTTGTGTTCCTTAAGGTTGTTCTCGTTTTGCTGTTGTTCGTTTGTGTTGTTCGAGTGATGGACCAACGGCGCGGCCCCCGTCAGGCCCACCGCGACGTTGTTTAGGTTCTGAACACACCTCTCCACCGCCACGCTGTCGCCCATCTGTACCATCGCCGTGCCCTCTTTTGATTTCAGAAATTTTATCTAAAATTGGAACTTGGAATCAGTCGAAAGGGACTTTAACAAACTATCCCGAAAGGAAGCATGCCTTGTATCAATTTTAAAAACTTTATCTAATTAGCAGCATATGTAGACAAAAAGTCTAAAATAAAAAGGTACAGGTACTTTCAAGGGAAATTTGGATACATGTCCGATAAAAAAAGGCCAATACAATTTTTCAAAAATTAGCATCTAAAACGTAGTAGGCTTAGGAACATTTCTGAACTTCATTTGTTTTTTATTTTCTTTTTTTTTTCAATGTTTCAAAAAACACATTGAAATTCAACTTTTCTGAATATATTTTGTATTTTTCTAACGAGCGTTCAAATAAAAACGTGGTCGAAGTTGGCTCTGACACATTGGACGTAGGGAGTAGCTTATAGCGATCAACTTCAATAACGTTAATGACTATACAACTTTATTTTAAAGAATAATCGTGATAACAATAACAAACAATTAAAGGAGCTGCGGAAAGTGTCCTCCTCCTTGTTCCAAGCACTTTTCACACCTGTTCCTCAAAGAATTAAAGACATTTTCTAAGATGCTCGGGGTATTGTTAATTTCACGAATCTTGTCTATAAGTCGAGCCTGCAGATGGTTTAAATCAGGAATAGGCAGTTCAAAAATAGTGTTTTTAAGGTAAGGCCACAAAAAGAAATCACACGGCGTAATATCACATGACCTCGGTGGAAATTCATGTTCAGCATTATTAGTCGATTTTGGAAAACTTCCCTCAACATATTCATCGTCTCGCCTGCCGTATGTGCCCTTGCGCCATCTTGTTAAAGTAAAAGTTTGTAATTTCGTTTTCTTCCAGCTGGTTAACAAAAGGAGCGATAATTTCTTCTCTATACCTTTGAGCAGTAAGAGTACCATTAAAAAAAATAGGTCCATAAATCCTCCTTCGATTGAGAGCACACCAAACTCCAATTTTTTGAGAGTGTAGAGGGCCCTCCACAAAAAAGTTATCTGGTTTTTCAGAAGACCACATTCTCATATTCTGTGAGTTTACGTAACCACTTAAATGAAACCAGGCTTCATCAGAAAAAAAGGTGATATTATGAAGTTCACCGTAGTTGTTTAAAAACCATTCACAAAATACAACCCGTCGCGGAAAATCAACTTCATGAAGTTCTTGCTGACAAGTTAAACAATAGGAGAACAAACGCAAATCTTTTTTTAACACTGTGTGGCAGGTACCGATTGATACTCCCACCATTTGTGATAAAACACGTACAGAAGTTCTTGGCGCATTTTCCATTATTTGTTGGACATTTTCTTTTAATTCTTCAGTCCGCTTTTTAGGTCGGCCGCTTCCTTCTTTTCTTGTTACACTGCCCGTTTCACGAAAAACATTAACACAACGCTGAACTGCACTTTGAAAAAATTTTGTACTCAACAACGCCGGGAAATTGATTTTGAAATTCTATGAAACATGCCTCAATAGAATACTTCCATATTCCATCAATCTTGCGTCCATTTCTAAAGTAGGACTCTATGATAAAACACTTTTTGTTCTTGAGAAAACACCATTTTAAACGCTTTTTAAAACGAAAATATTCAAATTGATAGGGGCGATATAGCGCTTTGACAGATGACGTTTAAGTTCATTTGCTATACGCTACGCCCTACGTCCAAATTTTCAGAACCAACTTGACCACGTTTTTATTTGAACGCTCGTTATTTTGTACAAATATTTCAGTAGGTAAATCTTGCACTATACTTAGATGAATGCATTTCCTCTTGATATCTTAAAATCTATTCGCAAAATTTCGTTTCGCGTGCATATCGACGAGATTCACATTGCACCAATAATAATTGTACCGGTTTTATGCAACGCAGCGGCGGCAACTTCTCTCCAATACCGAGTATGCAGAGAAAAGAAAAAAAAATGCCATTATCGCACTGTATGTAGAACACGCAAACTTTCTATATGAAATCAGGAAGTAATTAAGCTGATGAGATACGAGTATTGCTTTTTAATATACCGTAAGATTTTTTTTTTATAGTTGCGACACTCAATAATTGTAATTCGTTTCTTACTTAAAATTCAATAGTACCAAGGTGATTATCGAAATATTTCATGCGTTTGTAACAATTCAGTACATAATAGTAAATGTTACTTGAATTATGATTATTTATGACGTTTCTGACCTCCCTTGCAATGTGTTGCATCAATATTTTCATTAGATACTCGACACTACTACAGTGTTGGACAAATCAAAATACTGGGATTGTTAAAAAAATAATTATTTAAGCTTTGTACTGAACGTATGTGTCGGTGTTAATTTATATTTTAGGCAGAATATAGTGACAAGCTTAATCTGTAAGGATTAAATTTACTTGGTATATGCGAATGACCAAGGTCGACGTTCAATCGCACCCCTTGAAACCACCGCCAGGTTTCCACTATAGGAATTCGATTGAGTGACAGGCTCTGTCAGGGTGTTTCAGGGGCCGACTTCTCGGCGCGGATTAAAAACACGAGTGAAATTTCTGTAGTTTCTTGACACAGCTATTTCAGAAATTAACAGCAAAATAAGAGCAATTTTTTAAGTTTAACGCGAATGAACAGTGCGTTTTTTTTCCCAAACAAAGCTTCGCACCAGCATGAATCCGTAAACATGTTTTCCATCGGCCCTAACGCAATCTAGTCCCGTACCGGCCCAGTTAAAAATTTATATGGTGTTTGTCCATTCCGGCCGCAATTTTTTCCCCATTCCCCACCCGGATTCCAAATGGATAAATCTCACCCTCATCTCACCTGCGGACGGGCCCCATATCTCAAGAAATGATACACCGAAGTGGATCTGAATGTAAATACCATCCCGAGGTCCGACCTTAAATATTCCCAACTTAATTTCACGGAAGATTAAATGCATTATGAAAATCTCGAAGGATCTCGGTTGGTAAATAGTTAAAAGGTATCAGGCCCGGCTCTATTTCCACCTTAGCCGGGCGCTTCCTTGCTTCACGCAAACGTAAATAATAAAATAAGCATCCAGACGCCTCGGTCTGTTCGGTGGATGAAAACCGAACAAAGGAAAAACGGGCGTCTCCGCCACCTGTAACGTCACATGAATGATTAATCCCTCGAGTTTGTTTTTACGGTGGTATTCCGCTGAAAAAAGGTTTTTTTAAATGCATCTATTATTTAGCCCGCGTTTGGGGCCCGTGCATCGCATTTTTTTTTATTTAAAACGGCAACGACGTGTATATGGGTATGCATAAAGTGAAACTTTTATTGCAGGCGCGTGAAGCTTAATAAAATACAGAAAGGGTAAAAAATACGGAACATTTTTTAAAAATAACCGCTTTTTTATATATTTTTAAACGTGCTAGATATTAAAAACTGCGTTAAAAATGTAACAGGATATTTTTTCACTCTAACGTTGTAATAAACGCGGTTTTAAATTTTATTTTTCTCCGAGAAAACTGCCACATTAATCTACAAAAGTTCAATTTAATGTTTCAGGAATTAAAAGCAAAAGGAAAGAAATTTTAAACGCCTTGGAAGAAGATCCCGGTACCAACACTCGAAGATTACCTGCGAGATTTCAAGTATGTCATATGCTGGGAAAATCAGGTGAGTAAACAGATTATTCACTCATTTTCGTTACTGTACGCGTCGCATTTCCCATTTTAATTAGGTACAAGGGCAACTAACAACATACATAAATCGCACACCTACCCGAGCTACATTTCCATATAAGCACATGAGGTTGAACAGCTTATCCGCGTTGGTACGTAGAGGATCCAGTCCGTAAACCATGAGCACAGCTCCCGGTTGCTGGAAATGCGCTGTCCTTTGGTCTCTGAATTCTGTCGTTACCGCCGGGGTAGCGGTCTTTCTGAACGTGTCCGTGCCGAAGGGTTCGCCGTACCCTGTGCTGGCGCATATTTCGTCGAACTGCCTGGTCTGTTCGTTTGGATATGGATCTGGAAAAAAAATGCTTTAGTGCGGGGCTTGCCGGCGCACGTTTATCCAATTTGTGAGGGTCAAAAATAAAATTGACCACGTATGTTCGTAAACGTGAATTTTATGAAACGTCCGTTGCGTGTACTGAGAAATAGCGAAGAAAATTGGCATTCACATGTTTTGAAAATAATAATAAGAAAATATTGGATGTATATTAGACACAAAAAAATAAAAAAATACAAAATTTCTAGCGAAAAATGGTCGTAGAGCAATAAAATAAAAAGCAAATTGAATATTGAAGTTCCTAGTTTTAAGACCTAAAAGTCAAAATTTTTTATCGTTAACCACCTTTAAGAAATCATATTAAAATCAGCGGTTTTTTTATTTTTGCTACCTTTTCAAACGGTCTACGGACTTTTTTTTGCCAACTCTTTTTAGATGATTCATCTGCTTTAATTTGAGCTTTATACGATGATTTTGTAGCATACTCAAACTTATGTTTTCTTGAAAGAAAATTGTAGGTCACAGAATGGCGTAGGTGGAAAGTAGCACGATAGGTGGAGCCACTTACGCTCTGTGTATACACATCTTCTTGTGAGTAACGACACTAAAGCAGCTGGATCGCTCTAACAACATATTGATGAGGACCATCAATCAAACCGACTTATGTCTGGTTGGTTAAACTTACGAACGATCCTAGACCTAGCTGTTGTACTAGGTTTTTATTACTGAGAAATATTTATATCCAAATACATATATTCTTAAAATAAAATAAGTATATAATATGCAATCATTTGACCAAAACTATTAAATTTTGTATTAGTAATAGTCATCCACAATTACAATTTAATCACTTTTTTGTAATAAAACACCATCAATATTCGATTTAAAATTGCAATTCAGTTTTAGCAACAGATTGAAAAAATCTCCGACAATTTTTAATTAATTTTATTAATTAATTATTAATTTTTTAATTTAACAAACAAATACACAGTATTTTGAAGTGAAACAATTAAACCAATTCTTACTACTATTGTAAAGTAACTGTAATACCAGTGCCTACCAGAATGTATTTTTAAGTATGATAGTAAATCCTCAAAATATCTTATTTATAAATTATTGGGAAACCTACATCCATTAAAATATACAGCGCTGTAAAATGGAAAATTATTCCACATCGGTTGCAGTATGTCGGAATTACATAACACTATTTTCAAACTGACATTTCACACCTCCGACCAAGAAATATCACGCTTTCCACCAGCACGTCATTCTTATATACTTTTCTTATTCAAACGGAGTGAAAAGTAATAAAAATATCGCAACAAACTCGGTCTTACAATCAAATAGAAAATAGTTCCATATTTAACATGTCTGTGTTATTTCGCATTTGTAGATGCCGTTTGCGACATCCTTCATAAAAATGTAACTGAATTCAAATGATGTTTGATTTGAAGAATATTTCTACTAAATAATAAACTTCCAGAAACTTTGATATGAAATATTTTGTACCCCTTTTTTTGTACAAAGCAATTGAAATAAAAAATGATGAAATGTCCATTATTGATTTGAATTAGCTTAACATTTTTTATACCAAATTATGTAACTTTGAGCTGTCTGTCTAGCAAATTAAAGCCCTTTCTCGTGGCCTATTCTAATTTTTTATGAGAAAGTCAGATTACTTCATGGTGTCAGAAAACAACCGAATATTTCGAGCGATAAACATTTAGGACACCATTGCAAAGAGAACGATATATTTCTTTCGTCCTCTGGTAAACGGGGAAAAACTAATTTCCTCTTTATTGCGGCAGAAAATTAGAAAAACTGCGCATACCATAACGGCTAATGTACATTTTCCGATACCCGTCACGTAAACCGGAAAATCCGGTAAATGTTGCCGGGGGAATGCAGAGGTTTTGCTGGGGGGTACAATAGTGACTTAATCTGTAACCGAACCGTAAGATTATCCTGGTGTAGATGCTTGGTACGAGCCGGTGAAGACGTTAGAATTTGTTATCGGACGCTGCGTCGAGATAGTGTGTGTTCATTTTCTCTATCTCCATACATCGCGCGCAATAAATCTCGGCAGAGGTAGATACTGTCATGTTTTTGTGAGCAGGCTGCCATAGAACTACTTCAACTGAATATATTCGACAATGGAGTTATCGAAGTACCAAAATTATCATTTACCATCATTTCTTGTAGGTAATTATGAGTTTTTTGGATCGCTAGAATGTATTGTTTATTTTTGCGTACATTTATATACATACTAAACATTTTAGAAAAAATGTATCGTACAAAAGTTGTAGAACTTTTTATAACAAAAATTTTGAGCCCAGCTCGAAGTCAATTGATAAACAAATGTATTAGTTATTGTAAAAAAAAACGGGTAGAAATCGCATTTTTTTTTAAACTTCTATATCTTTAAAACGAAATAAGATTTTTTTACGAAACTTTCAGAATATGTAGTCCTCGGCAAGTAGAATAAGTGCATTTTTGTAAAATTGCAAAATATTTTATACTTTTTGTAAAAATTGAGTTGAAAAAAACATTTTTTTCAAGTTGAACATTTGATAGTCCCCGAACAATACAGTGAAAAACTTATCAACATCCCGGTTTGGCAGAATCCTCCAAGCAGATCAATAAATACAAATTTCACGAAATGTTAAATATCCGTTATTATTTATTTATAATACGCCATACATTTTGCTTCAACAATGCACTACGTCCATATCCGTTAAATGGAATCGTGGTTTATTTTAATTAACAATATAAATCTTTTACACGATTAAAATTAGTAACATAACATGAACGAATGGCGCAGCACCATTATATTTGTTATATATTGAAATAAACCGTACAATTGTAAACTATGTATCAAATAAATTCCGTTACGAAATAATATTTCGGTCACTATATGAATGTTCCTATCGTTCAAAAATTTTATACAATATGATTGCGGATGTAGAAAATGTTCATTTATTTTAATAAAAAGACCTTTTTCCGGCCGTTCATTTGTGCGTATCAGAAATATACGTCAGTTGTCATAAAAAAACTACAGTATTGTTTGTAAAACCAGTACGATTGTTGGTATAACTAATGTGTTGTCAAAACTTGTTAGATAACGTTTAACAAATGATTATTTAAACATATTGTAGGTATTCACGATGATAAGAATAATGTGAATGTTTTACAGTAAACACAGTTCAAAGAATTAAATTAAGTTGCACAACTGAAATATGTTCGACTCATTTTTCTAGAAAATTTCTTCGGAAAAATTTCCGGAAATAATTCAAGCACTAAGGAGATTATAAGTGAAAAGAGGAGGTTTCAGAGGAAAAAGGGTAGTTGTGAAAACAAACTGTTTTTTAAGTGATTACAGACTGCACAAAAATTAATTAGAAATTTGTCTCAAAAAACGGTATGAATCGGGGTCGAAATCTATCCACATATTTTGGATCATCAACTTTAATTTTGATTTAATTAAAAGTTGATGAACAGAACCATAGGACGGAAAGGCCGAATCGTGCTGAGAACAATTGGATTTTGTTTTCTTCAATGTCCGGATGGTTTTCCAAAATAAAAAAATTTTGAAATTTCAGTCAATCAAACGTTATTTGCGGAAAAATGAGAGAAAAGCTTAAAAATTTTGTTTCCATTTTAATCATGATTATGAAGTGTTTAAGCTCAAAAATCGTGACCCTTTAATTTTTTTCAAAAGTTTGTTTGAAACATAGAAACAGTTCGCTAGATCCAGATGAAACTTCACAGGGTTCTTCTGGGTATATTGAACTGTAAAAGTCATGCTTAACTTAGATTTCGTGAATATTTCTAATTTAGCCGTTAATTTTCTAAAAAAAACCCTTTTTTACAGTTTTTTAAAATTCGTGTAAAAGATGAAAAAAAAATTTTTCCGAAAAGTTTCGAAACTGCCCTTTAATTCTCTGTACGACCATTTGTCACCGAGATATCAATGATTGAAGACAAAAAACTCCGATATTTCGATGAAAAATGGTCGTATCGAAATTTAAAAAAAAAGGAAATCGAAGCTGAATAAACAAACTATCTGGTCTATGCAATAGCTTAGCTGAAAAATTTTGCAAAATTTTTTGTCGCGCTATTTGTTGGAATTGCATGATAACCGTAGGTCCTACAAATTTTCGACCGAAAGATCTAAAAACTAGAATCTTAAAGCTTCAAAATCCTGTTTTCTAATTCCCGATGCGATCATTTTTCACCTAAATACAGTCTGTCAAAAATCACGGAAAAATTTAGGAAATTCTTTTGATCCTTTAACTGTGCATTAGTGTATAAAAAAAATGTTATGAATTCACATCATGTTCTTTTTGTTTTCGTAGAAAAAATTTACAATTGTTCATTAGCAAGTGAAGCTTAATAGTTTTCTGCTTTTAATAATGTTAAAAGTATTGCTCCGAAAAAACAAAAGTAATTTTTATCAGTATCTAATACTAAATTGTAATAATTGTATTACGGTTAATATATCAAAAATTCACGTTAATTAATTTTAAATCAATTTCATTTAATTACATTCACCGAGGTTTGGGGATTTTCAGTATCGTACAATGTTGGTTGCCTATGCTCGAAGGTCGAAGGCCACGTGGCTTATAATCATTTGCGAAGGCTGTATACATCAAATATGAAACAGCCAAAAAGTAGGTAATCCATATATTATTCACGATAATGTCCCACCAATGGCCCTTATTGATTTATCACGAACACGTTAATTAACTTAATTGTTGGTAGATAACTGAACACCATTTGCGGTTTTATACGTACGCTTTACTAATGCATGGCGTTTAATTACAAAACAACAAAAAACTTTATGATATTTTATTTAAACGTTTTAATTTCCCTAGACGGCGGTAATCGGGCAAATGATGTTTAACCGTCTCCCTTGAGGAAAATAACATATTTCACATTATAATCCAATATTTTTCCTTCCATTAGGCAATACGAGAGTGTATGCAAACAATTTTTATTACATAAAAAGTTTCTATTACGGTGGAATTTAGAAATTTATGTCGATTTATAACAAATAATAATCCGCGTTGGTTCAAATTATGCTAAGAGGTTCTTCCAAACGTATTTGTTTAGCGAAATTATCTAACAAGAGATGAAAGACATTTTTTTTTAGTTAAAACTGTTTCACATTCACCAGTTCTTGACCCTACAAATAGTAAGTTTTGTATATTTAATAAACTGGAGGCAGTGGGAGTGTGATGATAGTACCGATTTTAGTTGTATATTACAACTATGAAACTAATTTTAATTAAAAATATTTAAATAGGATCTAACATTGGCGCATTTTTTAGAATAAGCTAAATATTCTATTGGGCAGTCATGTCATTATTTAATTTTAATAATACTGGGTAGAAAATGAACATACTCTATAAAAGCTACCGTTACTTTTTCTTATTTATGGAAGCGAATGAATACAACTGGTAGAGAAACGGAAGATTATATTTTCCCAATTGTGTCTAACTGGTATTTTCCGATATTACTCGAGTTGGCAATTTAACAACTTTTTATCGATTTCCCATCTCGAACACATCCACTATATGCCACCTGAGGAACATTTGCCCCGTTTATAACAACTAAATAAACTGTTTGATGTATCTATTGGCGATACCGTAGACAGAAAAAAGGAGGTATTCAATTATCTCGAGAAGAAGAAAATTCCGATATTTGCTTTATGGCAACATAACAATACATCACACACTAGTCTTAACCTTTTCTTTATTAAAACGCTTAATTAAAAATTACCAAAAAATAAATAAAAAATGTTCTTTCTTAAAGTAAGACAATTATGTGTTTCCACACATTCCTTTTTTATATCGCAAATTACAAATTCATTTTTCACTACAAGAATCTCGGAAACGGTAATACATACAAACTAGCTCAAATGGGAGCAAAGTTGCGTAATCAGGGGACCAACATTATGCCCCTAAAAATCAAGGGCTAACATGATTAGTTTTCGAAATATTTAAAAATAACCGAAATTTTTTAAATCCGTTTTTGTTTCATTTCAGCCTTGTTTGAGGAGATACTGAAAAAAGAAGAACAGTTTCTCGTGGCAATTTTTTGCTCTCTATCGAATGGCATATTCAATTTTTATATGTAACGTTTCGTCTCTCCAGGACCATCATCAACTTCATTTTTTTAAATACGACCCTGGAAATTTTATTACATTTTTTGCAAATCTTCATGACCCCCAATACTGCATTGCCTCAGCCCGAATCAGATTCAGACGTTTTGTCTCGAAAAATTCATCTTTCCGATATCTCTGTAGTGAGAAGGGAATTTGTAACAGCCTGTATATTTATCTGTTTGGACAATAAACAGTAAATATTTTCAGGTAAATAACAGATTATTAAATTTTGGAATAGGTACAAATTACCTGGAACTCGGTAATAAATTGCAAATTAAAACGGCACTAACTCAAAATGTAAATAATTCGTTGACCTGATTACATCCATAGAAAATGGTGATATATCGTTTAATTAAATTATACAGGGAAAATTGAAAAATTACATGATAAAGATTCACAGCTTTGCTACGTACTGAAATATTGATCTTTTTTATATCGCTGTCACTAAAGATTCGACGCGAACACCAAAACATAAATGTTTTACATAGTAAGTAACGTAATGTAGTATTCACCAAAAGCAATTACGTTTTATTTACTGCAAGTACCTCCACATGAAAAGCCGTGACAGCGGTGTTATACTTTACTGCTGCGAAAAGCGACCGAGCGAGTTATATATCTATATAAATTTTCCCGGGGCACTCAAGAGAATCATAAACGTATTAATATTTGCAACACAGCCATTAAATTGATTTAACTGAGTCATAACTGGTAAGGTGGAAAAAAACTTCGAAATGTATAATGACGTAACGTAAATGGTTTTGTATGCGTTTATTACCAGCGTCGAGTCATACGTAATAAAATGCATTTTTTGGAACTAAATTTATACGGACTTCAAAGCGCTTTATAATTAGAATAACTCGATACGTAATCTTTCATTGTATTATGCCTCGCAGCTGTCGATATACCATTTTAGACGGAAACTAATTCGGCTTTTTTGAAAAATAAAGCTTAAAGAACTTCATCGAAAATTGTTATTAATTGTGAAATTTAAGAAAAACTGCGTTTGTTGTCCAATTGCCTAAATTATACATCGTCACGATCGCAAAAACCTTTAAAACAATTATTTTAATACAGGCGAAATATCATTTAACTGAACAAAAAACGTCCCGAAATAAATCCACCGCAACCGAAACCTAGTCCCATTATCTCCCCAAATTTGTCTCCCTTAACGCACCGAAAGGCAAATTCCCACCAGCGTATGCACGTATTACCGTAATGGCAATGGGTTTATCTGGATGAATTTGCAAAACGTAACACAACAATTTATTTGGACGTCTTAATTGCGTTCCCAGAGCGAACGAGGCTAATTGTACTGAAAATGGACGGACTTATTTACTTACCCTCATTTCGGCATTACTTGTAATGACATCATTAGGGACAAACGGGGGTGGGATGTAGAGGGTTAAGAATTCCGGGGAAATATCGTGGAATTCCAAGATAATGCGTGGGAGAGGGGGGGGTTAAAGAAAATACTGGCGAAGTGTCTCTTAATTCAACTACCAAACACGTACCAGACGTTCCTTAGTTAATATTAAGCATACAGATCTAAAATGCACGATTTTCCCTCTGAAAAACTGCTACTGCCGGTTGACTTCACACCTGGTATGATACGACGGGATGGTAATCGGGTGAAAAACAAACTGCCACGTTATATGGCCCCCACTTAAAGTTACATCCTGTATATTTAAACCTGTGCGAGATTATTTTAGACCACTATCCATATTGAAAACACCACGGGTTTGTGTGGTACGATTCTCATCAGCTATGATAATTGGGGAACCTGCCCAACAGCGGAATTACGTCGGGCTCGATTAGCTCTATTAAATGATTTATGTTAATCATGCAGGTTCTATTTCGATTTCAAACAAGATATTGTGGTTAATTTCAAACAAGTTATTATTAAGATGCATACATACACGAAATTAGTCGGGGTTATATTTTTTGTTATTTTTGTTTTTTTTTAAATAGTTAATATGCCACTAGTTTATATCACCTTTGTACACTTACTGGCCTTTCCTGTAACAAATTACGAATTTAGTAACAATTAACTACATATTGTTTACTATGACTAAACGGGTATTTAAAGAATATGGAAGATATTTCATTTGTGTTCGACTATTTTCTGTGACTGCTAACACGAAAAAAAAACAAACGCAACTTTTCTTCGAATCAGATTTTTTGCTGGAATTAATATACCTAAATACGATGTTATTTTAGATGGAGATTTTTGGATATGTTTATATTTTTTCTATGCAAAAAAGTTCCTGTAGTTCTACATATAACGCATGTAAATATCAACCTTAAAAAGCAGACACAAATATTAAAACTAATTTCACACTTTAAAATTTATTTACTCGGTTGATATTCACATATTCTAGCTAGTAATATTCACCTACTTTCCATAGCGTTTAATTGTATGCGCATTAAATTTTCTACAATATGTAAGTACTCAATGTTGTGCCTTTGTTTTGACAAATTTTCATTATAGATATCTATTTAACGAAAATCTATTTCAGCCTCATAAAAGTGAAATATCAAAATGCCATCGATTCGAATTTATCAACATTTTTCTAGCACGAATCGTTATTTTATGGTGATGAATCGATCATAGCTTGCCTACATTTAATTTATTCCATATATATTAGCTGCTATCCGTTATCTTTATTGCCTGTCATTTATATCCCATAAAATAGAAACGGGAGCTATACGGAAGTTTTAAAAATGTAATAGGGCCGTCAATTGTTGTAAATTGAACCGTTGTTTAGGATAAAAGCTCATAGAACATATTACAAACCGCAGACAAGAAACGCACACCAACCAAAATTCTTATTCATGCTTCACATAAGTCGATAGTTAGTTATACGAAAATCGTTTTTAATTTACGTGCAAATAATGATGAGATATTTTTAGCATCCAAGCATATTTCCACAGTCTTCACCGCGAATATACATGAAATAATATCTCTGGTTGAACAACGTCACTCATCGTCAACCATTATCTTTAATATTAAAAGGGTAACCTCGAGGCTATAAGCGATTCAATCTCTAGTTTTGGCGTCCCAGCTTTAGGACTTCCCCTCCCTCATAAAATATTAAATCAAAGCGTAAATGTGAAACAATTTACGCTGACCCAGTTTAATAAACTGTACTTTGTTTACGAGATATTTAAATATAAATTAACCAGAGATATAACCTACATTATCTATACTTTTATTAAAATGTGACATATAGACGAATCTTTCTGGTTATTAGGCCGTTTTTTTTTTCTAAGAGGACATAAATCGTATACGCGTATATATTGTCTTACTACGTTCGACGAAGATTTGTTATGATTAAAATTTATGTGGCTGTAAATAGCACAAGTTTTATGGTATCACGGGAAACCCCGAGGAAAACAAATAAATTCAAGACAATTCCTTTGTTGTTAGACTTCATCTTTGTCGTGGCAAATATGCGAATCTACAATTTAACCAAGTCGAAGATACCTGAAACAAACATTAATGCGTACATCCGCATTCTTTCACACAGTAACATTTTTTACCCTTGTTTTCTTAAAATATATTTAAAATTTATTTTTTACAGTTAAGATCTCGATTTTTCGAAAATTTGTTTTTGGAATGACACATGTTTGTCAGTGTAATTTTTTCGCGAGAAATTGAGGACTGGGGGTAATTTAACAAACACGCCGTAAGCGCCGATTCAAACCTTATTCGAAGGAAAATGACGGTGATGAAAATAAATGGAACGTAACGAATCTAATTAGAATTATAACGAAATATGGAGGCGGTTCCCATTTAATTAGTGAAAAATGATTAATGCACTCTTTTGCGTCAACGTCAGATCTCAAAACACAGAAATCTATAGATAGCTGTTGGTAAATAAACTCGGCACTATTTACGAATTCGTTAATTTATTCATAAAACAGCGGGTCCGTCTCATCGCGGTTGCCAAATAATGATTCACCAGGCTATATGCTTTATGCAGCGTCAGCAAGGTGATACAAAAAATGTGACATTAGTCACTTTCTAAAAATCATAGCATTCAGATGCATTTATTGCAAGAACGTTGAATGACTGCAACATGTGTCCTTAAATATTTTTTTTAAGTAGGTACTGTTGATATGTTACACTTACAATTACAATCTCGAAGATGCCTAATTAATAAAATAATTTAATGACAATAGTGGAATAAAAAGAACGACGTAGGTGGTACGCCGGGAACTAGATTCGAAAGCTATACGGATGCCTGCAACAACACTCATGCACGAACTAATCATTTTCATTGAGCGCGAGTGGTGTATAAAGTAAATCATTTCAACTCGCGATTATGTGCGCAAAATTTATAGATAAACAAACAGTAATAGTTAAACAAACTGAATTCAACTGTTTCATGACAATTTTATACACGGTGTTAGGAGTTTGACTGCTTTAATTTTAACAGATGGTAGAATACTTTAAAATAAACAAAAAAACCTTATATGACATGGGTCCTAAACTCAACAATTTCCGAGAAAAAAATTATCAAAATCTCCAAATCGATGTACAAAAGTAAGGAATATTGACGTAAATGCGTGCATAGAATAGCATAAAATACAATATTTCTCACTTTTTTTAACTTCTTTATGCTTAATTCTAAAAAATAATTCAGTTGGTGTTGGTATCTGGAATTGGACCGTGTGGGAGTGTTTTTTGCGTACCAATATTTCCTTTTCTCAAGGTGTTTTCCAGCGAGTGCGAGAAAATTGGATTTGAAGGTGTCGTGTGTGCACCGAAAATGGTGGTGGACATTTTGAGCATATGTTGTAGTTTGTTTTGTACTTGTGAGTTTAAAAATTGCTGAAGTTATGAGCAACAGGCACGTTGAGAATAATGGGCAACTTGCATGTGTTTGTAATTGTCCAGAAATAATTTATAACGTTACATAATCATAGTAGAAATATTAGAAACATCTTGGAGGATGCAAATTCTTATAGTTTGCTATGCAAAATGAATGTTTTCAACGAGTATTTGCTGAACGCTCTAACTCGTGACGTCATTTAGTGTTATCGAGAAGATAAAGCTTTGTAAATCTCTTTCTGCGGCAGCCAATCCCTGCGAATCAAATTCTTTTGCAGTAATATATTACTTCATTGATAAAATTTATATATTTACGCTGGAAATATTTCGTCTGCTTTCCGTTAGGCGACGTTCATCCAAACACATGTTACGTAGAACAGATTTAATGGACTATTTTCGCAAACGTAACAACGCAACCGCTTCAATTTCATCAGTGTAAACATTAAACATTAAACGTATGTATTCTATTTTCGGCCCGTATGCCGCGTATTATCGAAAAGGATATTATCACAATTAAAACTGGCCTCGTTCTTGAAGCCTCCAGAAAAAAAATTGACGTGATTTTCGGTATTGTAAACATAAAATGTTAAATGTAGATATTTCAATCCAAAATCAAAAACATTTCAATAAATATTCGCCGTTCCTATTTTCATTTTGCAATGATGAGAACGTGATATACAAAAAAAAAAAAGATTAAAAATGTGAAATCACAGTTGCAAAGGAAAAGAAACATTAATCTGCAATCTCCAGATTGCTGTCCGTGTAGTTTCATGGATCTAAACAATAGCATGGGGATTAAAATATAGACTTCTGCCCGGGAATTGGTTCTTTGCACTTGTTATAATACTACCGAGCCTTAACAAAAAAATTCGACATATCTATTTCACTTCTAACCGTACTTTTACGTTCTCAGTTTGAACATTACAAATAGGTCCTTGATTGAACAACTTAACTAAGTGTGGTATCGCGATTATATGTACCCAGATAATAACAGTAACCCCCGGTGACCAGATATGAGATAATTTTCCGCTTTTGCGCTCATGCATAGGTAGTAGTGCGTCAAGGCGAGAGATACCTGGGTAATTTTGTAATATGACAGGCGGGAAAGCCTTGTGTGACACAAAAACATTATCTAGGTAACTTTTACTGTTCCTCAAACGGATAGAATCGTTTCAATTCTTACATGCGCCGTTTTTATTTTATTAATAAACATTTCCGATACTTTAAACATTTACGCGAGTTACCGAAAATAATCTTCCCCAAACTGCATGCATTTTCGCACGCTTATTAATAAAAACACGTCATATGCGTATAAATCATCGTGTTTTACAGCCGCTGTCATAGTTGTTTAGAAGATACAGACAAATGGGCGTAAAGCTTCTCATATGTTACCTTACATCATTTTAAAAATAAATCTTTCTTTAATGTAATTTCTGTGTAGCTCGTTCTGTATACCCGGTGATCTAGGGAATCAAAATAACCCTGTCAATACGAAGGCTATACTCCCGAAAATAAAACAATAGTAACGTACTGTAAATAATAATGATGCAAGTCAGGTTTGTCGCGAGAAGTGAATAAAAATATTGAGAACAGAGGTACGGGAAAGATACATTATGGGATTGCGGTATTTCCAACATTTTTAACGTTCAAAACTAGGTCAATCCAAATATTATTTAGAGGGAAATTCAATTTAAATTTTTTTTAAGCAAATAAATACTGTTTGGTTGGTATAAATACTGTCTGCAATAGATGTATCTCAACACAACGTGAAATCTAGATCAATTCAAATATTTAGAGAAAATTGGAAAATTCCGCTTCGCAAAACTTATCCATGATATATGTCTCTCAACAGACGAAGTGCAGCGTAGAAATAAATGTGTTGTGAATTAAGATTTAAACAAATCATTTACGAATCTTGCAAGAAAAAGTATGTTTACATTATTTCTATACGTATATTCAAATTCGAAGATAACTTCCCAGTTTATATAAAATTCTGTTTAAATGTCGAGTCCACAGTAACACGAACTGCCTACTTTTCCCAGTGCCTATACGGAACAACTCCAGTCGAATGCAAAAAGAGCGAGTTCCCGAGCGGCTTTTGCCTGACCCTGGGACAATTTGTTTATAAAGCTGTTTTGAACATTCTACTTTGTTAGTTGTAAATGGTCAATCAAATCGGCAT